CGGAGGATTATTCACAACACGCGAAGACTCTTGAAAAAACCGGTAAGGCAGCATTCGGTGAGTGTGAAATGCCTGTTGGCCTCCCTGTATTCCATGACAAATTTAATACACAGATGCGTGTTGTCCGTCGACTTGATCTTAGCTTTCGTGTACTTGTTCAATCTTCTCAACCGCAAGGTTAGACAATTAAAGGGAAAATATTGATATCATCATTATTGTTGTTTGTTCCATTGTTCATAAGAAAAGGATCAATGCTCAAGTTCAATTGAAAATAACTCACCCTTGCTTCTCATGTGAATCTACGAATTTATAGGCACGTGTGGCAGATACTCAACGGAAAAACAACATCTTACCCAGCTAATGCCGCGCAGAAAGCTGAAGTGAAACCATTAGGCACCTGTGCAACGTCTTCCATTTGAGAGATTCATCGCAAGTTACTTCTTATATATGAAAAGCTTGAATTATTTCAATTTGGTCGGAGTACTAACTCCTCGTCGGTACCGCAAGGGTCATTTCAGATGGAGTAAACCGTCTGAATATCCCGAACAAACAGAATTAATTCCAATTTGTCATAAACTCTGCCTGCAGTTGATTCAGTAGAATGTACCACTGCGCCACCTGCAGACAAAGTCCGAAAACTACTCCACAAACACTCCGGGGTGAGAGTCAGTGGTACATCTTACTGAATCCACTGCAGAGCTTATGACTAATTGGAATTGATTTTGTTTGTTAGGGATACTCAGACGGTTCACTCCATCTGAAATGACTCGCCCGGTACTGACGAGAAACAAGTACTCCGAAACCGGTCTATCGGTGGTCGGCTCGACCAAATGAAATAAATTTTTGTTTTTTATGGGAGTAACTTGCCATGATCCAGCCGAAATAACTACTTTCGATTGTGAGCATACGAAAATCTAGTTTAAACATTCGTAATGGAATTGAAATATATCATACACAGGAACGCTATACAATGTAATGTAAGTGCAGTGATACAAAATTTCACTTGTAGTCACTGTTATCCAAGCAAACTAAAGAAAATAATGAAATTTAAAAATGAAGACATATTCCCCATTATTTCATGTTGAATATCACATCGTTAACGAAACAAATGATACAGCAAGAAGAAAATAGGAATTATGGATGATATAAGCAAAGTATATATGTTATTACTATATATGAAAAAATATATAAGTAGGGTAATTTAATATTTGTAAGGTTTGCTCTTCCTTCCTGCCTTTCTGATAATCTGTTTTTGTAGGAACTGTGTTTTGAATTTTACTTGTGTGTGATATCTCGGTTTCAAAACCTATGCCGTTTCCATTGTAATATTGAAATTTATAAATTTCTGGGGATACACCGGTTATGTATAGACCCTTCGATCTTAAATGACAAAGATGATTGAAGGACCTTCATTTCAAAGAATTTATACACTCTTTGCAGAGGTACTTTACTTTTTTACCTATAACTGAGCTGTTCTCGAGGAAATCACGTTGTATAATCCCAAAAGAATTGGAAACCATCTTTTTTATTGATTTCATTTGTAGAGTTGGAAGGAGTTCTTTTGAAGACTAGGGATGGAAGTTTTGCCCTGCAGAAATCTCTAGAATAGTCCATATCATTTAAAAATATTCGAGACCATTTCACAACATTCCTGAATATATATCGAAACATTTTGAAATATTGTGGAACATTTGCGAATAATTTTGAATATTCAATAACATCCCTGAATATTTAAGATCATTGTGAAACCTTTTGGAAAGTTTCACAAACGTTCACACAGTAGCAAATGTTGTAGAATGTTCTGGAACATTGTGAATCATTCGATGCCTTTTTGGAGGTATACAAAGCGAGATCCGTCAACCGTCGAAGAACTATCAATTCAATTTTGAAATAGGTATCAAAAATACGTAACAAAAATGTGAGCTTCACTTTCAAAACATTTAAAAAACATTTGCAACCTTTTTTCATCACACTTGATGTGATTATTTTAATTTTGCGATAACACCTAAGATATTGATTTGAATTATTTGGCAGTTATAACGTGCATTAAATGTTCAAGGCAACTAATGTATTTATTTGGTAAGAATGAATATCGTATCCTTCTAAATAGCTTTTCAATTACCACATTATATGTGACTATTAGTTTAAACATTAAAATTGATATACACTGTGTCCGTGAAGTATGGAACAAATTCATTTTTAGCTAAACAGGTCATTTTGAGAAATAATCCTGAAACACGTCGACTTTTGATGTTAATTTACCGCATTTTAAAATAATAATCTAATATACAGGGTGAATTACGTTCGAGTAATGACGTCACCGTCATTTTTTTTAATGGAACACCCCCATTTTGTCTCAATTTTCGGATTACTCTAGCTGAGCTGATTCCAAAAATGTATCACATGTTGATTCCAATTGGTACAGGGTGGACAAAAATACAGTAGTTGTGTGTGTGNTCTGTTCTGAACTTTTAATTGTTCAATTGAATTACCCAAGTCGTTTCACTTTCATTTTGAAGAAATGAAACAATAATAATAATGAAACATGACAGAAATATCTTCTCAACTAAACTTAAGTTCATTTATGAAGAAAAAACTGCTACAATGACAATTTTTCATCACACATTTATTGAGAGCGTGATTCTGCAATAAAGTTTGTGCAGTGACTACCATAAAATATAAAAAAATCTTGCACGATATGAATATAAAAACTCTTACCTATACAATATTATATTCATTAAAATGCCTGAAGACGCCAACTAGGTTGGTGAAACGCGCGTCAAGAAGAGTAATGCAGTTCTGGGGATTGGGAAAAGTGCTTGTTTTGGATTAAAACCCTAAGGTTTGAAAAACATTAATTCGAATAGTTGGTGTTTAGTATCGTATGTGAGCTATTCTTAACAGACATGCCATCATCACTTAATATATGAATTTCGTACCGACTTCTAATGACAAATGCCTGTTAAGGCCTCAAAAATTCGAAGACTGATGCCGAAAACTCTCAGAGACTGATAATGAACTGACACCTATTCAAAAAAACATCTACTCCTCTGGCTAATACCACAAAGGGCGTTGGATTATCTGACAGGAATTTTTTATTCAAGTTTGATAAATGAATCAATTTTTGGAGGAACCACCATAGATTAATATACAACTACAGTATTCATTGAAGCATAAATCATTGAAGGTTGTGCAAGAAGAGCACAAGGTCGCCATTTCGAACATTTGTTGTGATTATTTAAAATCATCATAACCCATTGAAATACTGATGGCTGAGTTTCATTTGTATTTTCATTTGGAAGTCTCAAATCTGTAGAAAATGAATTTTTTCTTTCAGAGTGTAATAGCGATATCAGAAATTGTAATGAAAAAAAAATGACAGTATTGTAAAATCTGGTACAGAGCTAATAAGTTTTTGAAAGGATTGACACATCAACATTCAATACTTTTGTTCATTTTTTGTGCATCTCAGGGGGTCGAAAATGGCATTTCATGAACTGTACATAGATACTTATTTCTGACTGTTTTTCTGGTTTTCTGGTATACAACCTTCCACAATCTGAGAAATGTACAAAGCTGGATCAATAGAGAATCAGCTGAAGTATATAAAAGTTACTGTGTAATATAAACTACTAAAGGGTCGACCGCTAGAAATCTGAATACCTACAAATATTTTTTTCAATAGATGTTTTAATTTTTGGGAAAGAAAGTTTTTGGCTTTCTACAACACCATCTTGATACAAAAAAAAAGAAGGATGAGGGAGTCTTCCAAAGAAAGGAAGGAAGTAACTCTATACATGGATGTGTAGATCATGCAAAGAAGTTTTCAAAGAATATGTGAATACCTACATTTCACGAAATAAAAAAATACCTGGAAAATAGGTATCAGTGTGTGGATCTAGATAAGGTAACGTCAGATATGAATTAAACACGTCATGGTGTTCCTCAAGGTCTTGTTCTGGGACCAATGTTATTTATATTCATATAAATGGAATATGTAGTTTCATTATACCCACAACATGCCTTGGTTGCTGATGAGTCGACTCTTATTTACTTAAATAAATCCTAATACAATACCCCAAATACCTGGTTCACTTCCAATAAACTGAAATTCAATGATGAATGACTGAAAATATTGTTATATCCTCAAATACTGATGTTCATCTTCAATTTAAAAATGGATATAGGTTAGCAGTTATCAAAAAATAAATTGTTATTAACGTAGTTGGGCAACTTATAATATAGTTATTATTATTTCTTCATGTTTTTAAAATTTGGCAAAATTATGTTTTGTTGAACCCATTTCAATATGGATAAATGTATTTTGGTATGTTATAAACAAAATGTTTATGTCGTATACCAAGTTTTTTGAAATGTTGACTTGTCATAAATGTCACATTGTATTTAATTGTCTAATTTTTTGAACCTCTCTGTGGTAATTGAGAAATTACTTGAACTTTGTGTAGAACTTAAATTAAAAATTTATGTAAAAAACTGTCGATAACTTCTCATGTGGGACAAAAATTATCTTTGTGGTATGGTATATTCTGCTCACTGATTTCATTATTTACAATACATCCTTAAAATATACATGAGCCTCGTATATAATGTATAACTACTTGTGGATAAAACCTTTACGGAATATAGACAATTGTGTTTAAGATTGTCTAATCACCACTAATCAAATTTTGAAAATTTATATTCTTTTATTTCTCATACACAGCATTCAAAAGTAGAATGCACCGAAAACAATAATATTTTAATTCATTTGATGTCTGAATAATAAAGTTCATTATCCTTCATCCAAGAATAGTAAAATATCGCTAGGATTATGCTGTCTCCCTTATATATAATAAATATTTGCACATGTTACTTACATTTCATATAAGATAATTGAAATTCAAAGGATAATGTTACTCGTAAGATACATGCCGTAATGGGTTTTAGGCAAACTGACATTCCACCTTTATTCACTGACAGGGCTCATCATATATTCTTACCAAGTGCAGGTGTATCATCCTGGAGTTCAATAAGAACCCTGCCCGACAAAAACTGTCCCGGGAAGTAAAGTAACGATGTGTTATCGAATAAGATGAGGAATTTCAGTAGTTTTCTGGGCATTTTGCTCGTGTTTACCACTCATTTATGTCGATCACTCTTTTTTTATAGACACCGTAACATCACTTCTTCGGCCATGTCTCGACTGGGTGTACTCGGCTACTTTCAATAAACGAAAGGTGAGGGAAACTCAAGGCCTATGCCCCGGCCCAGTATCTCATCTACCTGTGGGTTTATTTAGTATGTAATTTCTCTTCTGTATATTTTTGGATAGGCATTGTGAAAGAAAATGAATTATCATTGACGCAGGACTCAGTGAAATGAAACTGTGAATTGGTTTAATTTTGTGACCAGTATCAAATTAATTGTCTCATCTTCGTTGGCCGCCATATATAGTCAGATCTTAACGTGTCTGTTTATGCAACCAGTTATGATTCACTACACAGGCATTTGTTGAGGATAGTAAGACGCATGAGCGAAACCAGCTTGTGATTGTTTATAACAACCAATTTGGTGTTTCTTTTGTATGCATAACGCTAAATGTATGGATTTTCCGAATTTGATGATTTTTAAATGAAGACGATTTGCTTTACATCTTATTGTCTGTTCTGAACTTTTAATTGTTCAATTGAATTACCCAAGTCGTTTCACTTTCATTTTGAAGAAATGAAACAATAATAATAATGAAACATGACAGAAATATCTTCTCAACTAAACTTAAGTTCATTTATGAAGAAAAAACTGCTACAATGACAATTTTTCATCACACATTTATTGAGAGCGTGATTCTGCAATAAAGTTTGTGCAGTGACTACCATAAAATATAAAAAAATCTTGCACGATATGAATATAAAAACTCTTACCTATACAATATTATATTCATTAAAATGCCTGAAGACGCCAACTAGGTTGGTGAAACGCGCGTCAAGAAGAGTAATGCAGTTCTGGGGATTGGGAAAAGTGCTTGTTTTGGATTAAAACCCTAAGGTTTGAAAAACATTAATTCGAATAGTTGGTGTTTAGTATCAGTAAAATTGTGATGTAGAAGAACTTCCTAAAAATTTGAACAAATTACATGTTTTTTTCGGTAAATACAATTCTTGGAATCGCAGTCCGCGTTTGGTGGCCTGGTTTTCGTGAGGCTGCTACAGATCTGGTAACACTATCCGTAGCAGCCTCACGAGCAAGCATGTGCCAGGCTCTACAAAATACCCTCGAAGGAATCTCAGGTCTCAATAAATAATCTGAAAACAAATACGGGGGAGTATACAAAAACCGGAGAAGAGACTATTAGAGAGCTTTTCCTGGGCGAATTCAGAACTGGAGACCCCGAAAAGGGCATCCAGGGAGGACTGGCAAATGACAAAGAAGGTGATAGATCTGGAGAAAATCAAATGGGCCGGGACCTGATGGCATATACCCAGTAATGCTTCAAAAGATATCGGAAGTTCTTTTCAAAAAATTGTGTACAATTCTCAGGGCAAGTTTAGCACTGGGACACATACAAAAAATTTGGAGACTGATCAGGGCCACCTTCATTCCGAAACCTGGGAAAATCGGACAGGACTCGATGAAGGCCTTGAAACCAATCAGTCTCATGTCATTTGCGTTGTAAACGCTAGATAAACTACTTGACAGGCATATCAGGGACGTATCACTGGCTATCAGATCATTACATCGAGACCAATATGCATACAGGTCAGGTATGTCAACAGAAACGGCTCTATGTCGGGTAACAGAAAAAGTAGAACATACTTACAAAAACAAGGAACTACTTTTAGCTGCTTTCTTGGACATTGAGGGCGCATTTGACAATACGTCGTCAGAATCAATCATCCAGGCGTCGAGGAGAAGAGGGATCGACAAGACAAGCTGTAGGTGGATAGACTGCATGCTTAGGGGAAGATTGGTATATACAACCATTATGGGGAAAACAGTCGTGCACGGGTAGCAAGGGGCTGTCCTCAGGAGGGGGTTCTATCCCTTCTGTTATGGAACCTTGTAATGGACGAGCTATTATGTCTCCTGGACCACAATGGGTATAAAGCACTGGGCCATGCAGACGACTTAGTCATCTTAGTCCAGGGTAAATACAATAATGTAGTGAAGGGATGTATGCAGCAGACCCTGAATATTATAACAAGATGGACCGAAGAAGAAGGGATTAATATAAGCCCATCCAAATCGACCATAGTAGCATTCACCAAGAGGACTAAAAAGGAGGGTTTCGGACCTCTAAAACTTTGAGGTGACGAAATACAAGGGTCGGGGAAGGTTAAATATCTGGGAGTAATTCTAGATTCCAAACTGACCTGGAACCAACACTTGGACAGGATAAAGAGGAAAGCGGAGGTAGCACTGATGCTCGCCAGACGCACCTATGGAAAAACATGGGGGCTAAAACCAGACATGGTATATTGGCTATACATGATGGTGGTTAAACCCATGGTCTGGTGGCCAAAGACACTCCTGAATCTACCTCCTTCACACTTTGTGATAATGGGGAAGGCCAGGATGGGCCAATTCAGACTGGAAAACTCTCCGAACTACATAAGATCGGACCGAACAGAAATTTCGGAACAAGTGGAGGAGACCATTAGTCATCCCGAAAACATATTTGGAAAAAACACCTGGTATACAGATGGATCGAAGACCAAACATGGAACGGGACCTGGAATATACCGAGCGGATAGAAATTTAAACTACAGCTATCCGCTAGGACTATACACATCCGTCTTTCAGGCGGAAGTGTATGCTATCTTGCAGTGTGCAAAGCTTATTAAATTGAGACCTCAAAGAAATTAGCGGATCAATATTTTAACAGACAGCAAGAGCGCACTAGGGGCTCTGACAAACCCGAAGGTGAAATCAAAACTGCTCTGGGAATGCCATGAAGAACTGAATGAAATTGCAAATAGGAACAAATTAACTTTGTAATGGGTGCCAGGGCATTCAGGAATCACAGGTAATGATAAAGCTGATGAATGCGCTAGACGCGGATCATCAACTTCATATATAGGTCCTGAACCAGCTCTGGGGGTACCAAAACCATTGGTACGAAACCAGATTAGGACATGGAACAATAAGAAGCACACAGAGTACTAGACAAAAGTACCTGGCAACAAACACAGTCGAACCTTCATTAGGGAACCGTCCGAGAAAAGAATCGAAGAACTACTTCAATATAGTAGGGATCGGCTCAGAATAATTACAGGGTTATTAACTGGTCATTGTCCGCTTAGAGGACACTTGAATGAAATGGGGCTGTACAACGGAGACCTCAGCTGCAGATTATGCAACGAAGGGATAAAAATAGCTCTACACATCTTATGCGAATGTGAGGCACTGAATCACAGGAGGCAGGCAACATATGGACGTACGACATTACGTCCAGAAGAATATGACGAACATCCAACACGGAACCTGTACAAACTAGTACAGGAAACGAGAGTGATGGAATGGGTGTCATGAGAAGATGGGAGAATAAACGCAATAAACCGAAGAGGCTGCAATGTTTTCTGGAGATTTGTACTGAATGGACAAGTCAGACAGCTCCCAAGGTGATGCAATATTTTTTGCATTTTTTCCACAGAACCATTCTAGGCTAACAAGGTATCAGTAGGTATATTCTGGTATATCAAGCTCCTGAATCCGCCCATTTGAATTTTCATTCACCACACGAATGAATGCTAGTAAGTGGATTCACAATTTTCTTTAAAGGTCACTTCGAGTTAACATGGGCTGAAAAGTCCTGGGCCTGAAAAAGAAAACACGTTTTTTTTTGTTTAAAATTGGTTTTATTCATTAACTCAATCTTCATCAAGAGCCACAAAATCATTCCAGCGCCGCTCGAACATTTCAATACCACTTTTGTAGACCGATTTATCTTTTGTCTCAAAATAGGCCTCAGTATCAGCAATAACCTCTCCATTCAAGCGAAATTTCTTACCGGTGAGCATTTTTTTGAGGTCTGTGAACAGCTAGTAGTCACTGGGAGTCAAATCTGGCGAATATGGTGTATGCGGGAGCAATTCGAAGCCCATTTCATGCAATTTTGCCATCGTTTTCATTGGTTTGTGACATTGTGCATTGTCGTGATGAAACATCACTTTCTTTTTCTTCAAATGGGGCCATTTTCCGCAATTTCGGCCTTCCAACGCTCCAATTACGCTATATAATATTTCCTGTTGATAGCACATCCTAAAATACCGGGGTCATAACCTTTCCAGCCGATTGTTGTGTTTCGAGCGTCTTGGACGAGGTTCACCAGTTGGTCTCCACTCAGATGACGATCGTTTTGATTCCGGAGTGAAGTGATGCATCCATGCCACATATCGATGCAAAAATTACGGTTTGTTATGTTCAAACTTGACCAAACACTGCTCAGAATCATCAAGACGTTCTTGTTTTTGGTCAACAGTGAGCTCGCGCGGCACCCACTTGAACAGAGCTTTCTCATAGTCGACTGCTCATGCATGATATCTTTACAATGTCAGCTAACTCACGCAACTTCACTTTTCAAATCATTCAAAACGATTTTGTGGATTTTTTTGTTTTCTGGTGTTACTGCCTAATTTGGACGTACACAACGTTCTGCATCATTGGTGTCTCTACGACCATGTTTGAAGTCAGCAAATCAACGTTTAATTGTTGTTTCTGATGGAGCGGAGCCCTTTTAACACTTTTCAAGCCACCTGACCTGTATTTTTCCCATCAAGAAGCAGTGTAAAATTAAAATACGAAATCTATTGCCTGGAAAATATCAAAAGTAGTGTCATTCTTAGTACAATAACTCACAAACTTATGAGTAGAATATCATCAGTGACGGCTCGTGCATTGGAGAACAGGGGAGGTTAAAGTCATAAAGACTATATACACACAGAAAAGCCCGCCGGAGGCGCGAAAATTTTTTGGGTATCTAGAGCTGTCAAGCATTTTTAGAAAAAAATAATCATGATTATTTGTCAATATCTTTGAATTTGTTGCGATGAATAGCCTTAAATTTTATGGGGAGGCTAAGCCTCCCTTGCCTCCTCTGACGAGCCGCCGCTAAATATCATGAAATTTCAACAGCTTTTTTTTAAGGTTACTAATGCAGTAAGATTAGCGTTATCTATGTCTTATGTCCGAGACTTATCAGCCTATATATGAGGAGAAACGTG